TGTTTCAGTCTTGTATGAAAAAGGGTTCCAAAGCCTTAGCAATTTGAACGTTGAATTTTGAGTAAAACAGAAAAGGAAAACATAAAAGGATATCTGTATATGTGTGGAAAAACCATTTGGCTAATAAAATATGCGTTGATTTATGTTGTAAGTTTTAGATAGATTTTTCGGTGCAGGCAGAAAATATGTATACAACAGGTAATGAATTAATGACTATTAATAAATATCATTATATATAATTGAAGAAAAAATATAATATATATATATATATATATATATATATATATATATATATATATATATATATATATATATATATATATATATATATATAATACTAGCGTACCCGACCCCCGCGTGTTGCCGCGGGGATTGAAGAAAGTTTGACGAAATATATTAGAAGGATTTCACCAACGCGTTACCAATCATAAGTTCTTAGACGCGTGTCCTTCTTTTCTAAAAATGAGTTATTTAAATGTAAACAATGCCTGCGCTTGGATCATAAATATAAGGACACGGGTTTACCTACACTACCGCATGAAAACCATGAGTCTACATTAATCACTTATCGAAATAATATGGTAGAACACACTTCGGTGACAGTCCATGTGTCAGAGACGTAGAGGCCCACTCTCAGGAGCCCCCCCCCCCCGATTACACTACCGCATAGGCGCGGTGTACGACCCCTGGCTCCTTAAAATAGCACCCTGTTAAAAAGAATGCAGATTGCGTCATTCACTAAAGTGACACAAATGAACATGATTTGTTATTTAACACGTAATTAAATTATTTGACGCGTTTTAAACATCAGTGTGACTGATGCAATATGGTAGCGTTACTAATGGTATATTCTTAGATGCTCGATCTCAATTTCAGTTTGGATCATCTAAAAATAGATGCTAATTGCATCATTCGCAAAGTGACGAAACTATTGGGATTTTTCTTACGGACAAAAAGAAACATCCCAGTTAATAATCTAACCTTGTTTAATTTTTCTGATTATTAAAATAAAACGTATTACATGGCCCTCAGCGGCCCATGTGAGCTTTTGGTGGCCGAAACAGACATTTTTATTTGCAGCCTAATCGCACCCTACCAGGGCGCCAGAGGACACGCCTGATTCAATTTAGTAAGCGTTTGTAACGCCCCATCTTATCCTATGTCTATCACACTGTTTAGACCGAACGTTTTCACCATAGCGCTCACGGGAAAGACCAGGGCGCCAAATCGCATCCTGCCGAGGGGGGGGGGTGCCCATGCAAAATTAAATCCCCCCACCACCCACATACCCCTATTCCCCCCTCCCGCCCCAGAAACCTTCTCGGGAGTATTCATCAACTCCCTAAAGTTTCATGGCACCGGGATAAATTGCGTCCAAAAGCAATAGTCTTTTATTTGTATATACCGTATATTGAGAAAAATCCCACCATTCCGTGTCGCCGCTCTTGCGAAATTAAAAATGATTTTTTTACAGAAACCTTCCCTGGAGTGTTCTAATCAAGTCCCTGAACTTTGATGGCTATCGGATGAACGTTGTGAGACCGTAATCGACATTTATTTTTATATACCATATATTTACATAAAGAAAACAAATCGCGCCCTGACAGGGCGCCACCCCCTTCAAATTTGAAAATTTTTTTTAGCGCAGAAACCTCCCCAGGAATATTCTCAACATCTTCCTAAACTTTCATGGCGATCGTGTTAACGGTGTCATCGCAATTCACTTTTTTTTATTTTTATATACAGTATATAGAGAAAAATCCCGCCATTCCGTGGCGCCGCCCTTGCGAAATTAAAAATATTTTTTTACAGAACCCTTCCTTGGAGTGTTATAATGAACTCTCCAAAGTTTCATGCCTATCGGATAAACGGAGAAAAAATCGCGCCCTGCCGGGGCGCCGCCCCTGCAAAATTGAAAATGGTTTTAGCGCAGAAACCTCCCGATGAATATTTTCAACATCTTCCCAAAGTTTCTTGGCGATCGTGAGAAAAGTCTCAAGGCTATCGGGTGAACGCTGTCAAACTAAAATCGACTTTTATTTTTATATACCGCATATAGAGAAAAAACAAATCACGCCCTACCAGGGCGCCAACCCTGCGAATTTGAATTTTTTTTCTTCGCAGAAACCTCCCCAGGAATATTCTCAACAATTTCGCAAAGTTTCACGGCGATGTGATAAGAGGTGTAGTAATGCATAAAAGACAAACAAACAAACAAACAAACAAGCATACATTGATTTTTATATATATAGATAACATGTATAATTGAACTAACTTTGAATGGATTTATGTTCCGCGACGACATTTATTACCTTTATTTTTTTTTATTTGTCACCATCTGAACGGGAAAGTTAATTTTATCATTTCTGTGACAATGATGTCTAAATTTGCCACATCTTTTAGATGTTTGAAATGTACACATATTTAATGCAACATATGAAAATGAGTGTAATGGGTGGTGGCGCCCTGGCAGGACGTGATTTGTTTTCTCTCTATATATATATGGTATATAAAAATAAAAGTCGATTGCGGTCTCACAACGATGTTAAAATGAAACCATAATTTTATCGCTTGCCATATTTTTTTTAACAGAATGTTTTTTTTTTAAAATTTAATATGCTTACATAAGCTTTTCAAGACAATTGTTATCAACGATAATCAGTTTATAGTCTCTAGTTTCTTGGTGCGTTTCTGTTTTGTTTTCAAAGACTACATGTATTTCTTAAACCCTTTGTTTCTTCCAGACTTTTAGCAAGATAGAGGGCTAATCTCCGAGCTTTAGCTAACAGCTTTGGTTAAATTTTACGTTAACAAGCTAAAAAGTGTCTAATAATCTGGTTATTTATTGAGATTTTTGGTGATTAAAAAAATCACTTTTACACAACAACAAATGTTAGTGCTTAAGTCTTTTTATTTTTAATGCAGCATTTTTATAATTAATTTTTATAAATAATCACATTTGAGGTAGTTCTAGATAACTGAAACGTGTATTATAAAAACATAATGAACATTGTTCATAAGACATTTCCTTTTAATATAGCAATGGTTTTTTAATACACCGAAATGCTAGCAAACTATGATCGATACTTAAACTACAAGCTCGTGTTGTATCTATTTAGATTAGCCTAATAAAAGTTGCATTGTCTACACAGCTGTATTGATTTGTAGGGATTAAATATTCATAAGATGAGAGGAAAAGGCGATAACAGGTTATGCGCAATTATCACGCACACATAGCATGAGCTTACCTGTACGTACTCGTACACGCGCACATAACATGAGCGTTCATATACGTACACATACAAGCACACATAGCATGAGCGTTCATATACGTACACATACAAGCACACATAGCATGAGCGTACATGTACGTACACGTAAACGCACACATAGCATGAGCGTACATGTACGTACACGTACACGAACACATAGAATGAGCATACATGTTCGTACACGCAAACGTACGCTGTGCTCGCACCGTTAACACTCGTCACGAGGTGCTACTGTATCAATTAATATTATTGTTTTTTTTGCTCATATTATGGTCAACCTAATAATATTTTAACTTTAGCCGTGACTTTTGTATCAAAGTTCGTTATTATAGAATTATGTTATCAAATACAAAGTGTTTGAACCAAAATCTTATGATATTTTCTGTTAATATCATGTGTTGCTTGAAATTAAAGTTTTAAAATAATAGTATTTATAATTTTAAATTCAATAGATTAACTCGCATTGCGATGATTGGGGCAATTAGCTCTAATTATGATTGAGGTTACACTGCTTACCGTTTCTACTCAGGCAATAAAGTTACCCTTTCCAAAGCGACTGTTCCATGAGGCAGGTGAAGCAGAGTTTATCTCTTTCTCGTCTTTCAACATATTAAATAATAGCGAGGTCAGCATTTTGCCAAGTCTTTTACTTTCCTTAACGTAAGTCAGGTACTCATTAGAGCTGAATGGACTCAATGACATCCAGTGTTTCTTCCAGACTTTTTTCTCCGGGGGGGGGGCACTTTAAAATTTCGGGGGGGGGGGGGGGGGGGCGGTAGGCCTTTTTTGGGGGGGGGGGGGGCGGACACCGTTAAAAGTATATATTTTCTATAAAAATTATATAAATTTCATTTCGTTCGGGGGGGGGGGGGGGGCGGTAGAACTTTTTCGGTGGGTGGGGGTGGGGGGGGGGGACGAAACCCCCTGAAGAGATGCCTGGAAGAAACTCTGATGACATCCTACACATTCAAGGACCCGAATTTGGATTAAGAGTCTCGTGCTCTATCATCCAACACCAATAACATCATGTAAAATTTGGGTTAATTTTCCCAGTAAAGCGACAACAATGCAGAGGCGTAGCGATGGGGGGGGGGCAGGTAGGTCGGCGCCAAAATGGATTGTAAAAACAAATTGAAATGTCAATTTTGCTGCCATTTTTGCAGTTTGAAGGGGGGGGGTGCAAATCGGAAAGTTGAGGGGGGAGTGCAAATTTGCTCCCAAGGGGGTTGCCAAATTGAAAGTTTGTCCCCGGGCGCCAGGTAGGGTTGCTACGCCTCTGCAACAATGCCATGTTTAAACGTTTACTCTGTCGAAGTTAACGGCAAATGTTTAATGTTACATGAGAAATCTGCAAATTGGTCAGACGTTACGGTATTGGATGTTTGTTTCACTAATAAGTTAATCACATTTCACAAACACTACATTAGGGGTGGGGACGATGAAAATAATAGTCTACAGAAATAGGATGTAGAACGGGTGTCGGCGTGGTCGAGTTATTAAAAGCTCATGGTTGCTAAACCGAAACGTCTCGAGTTCGAAGCAACTGCTGCATTGTAATGTGTTCTTTGCTGGACGAAGTTTATCAAAGCAAAAAAAAAAAGCAGGCTGAAATCGGAGCGCATAACCAGTTGACACTTATCCTTAATTTTATTTGAGGAAATCCCTTCCAACACTAGATTAAGAACGAAAAAGAAGAAGACATAGTAAAACAAAGAACAAAGAAAAATTCAAATTTAAATTCCTACACGTCTTTTATTGTAATTTAAAATCAATTTGATAATTGATAATATTTTATCACATAATTTCTATTTGCTTTGTGCCAATATTTTAAAATTTAGTTTTAATCAACCATCCTACATTTTAATTGGGTCTTTAAAATAAAATGAAATCAATTATTCTAACAACATTTTTCTAGTGTTAAAATTTGTTGACGTGTGGTTGGTGTGGAGAGTACCACGTGCGACGCCTCAATCACGTGACTACAGCCATTGACGGCAGGCGGAGAGATTGTTCAGACAATTTTTTACTGCTGGGCTTGACTCCAAGCGGGAACAGCTGAAACAGTAGACACGATATTTATATCGTTAACATAAGATCTGTATGTGGTACATTTGTAATTGGGAACAGCTGAAACAGTAGGCACGATATTTATATCGTTAACATTGTGATAAGATCTATATGTGGTACATTTGTAATCTTAAACAGCTGAAACAGTAGACACAATATTTATATCGTTAACATTGTCATAAGATCTGTATGTGGTACATTTGTAATCTTAAACAGCTGAAACAGTAGACACAATATTTATATCGTTAACATTATGTTAAGATCTGCTTGTGGTACTTTTGTAATCGTAGATTAGAGTAATGGTAATTTAATTTAACGAACGTATTTATTATATGAAAGCTGTTGCGAATTTATTCTAGGTTTAAAACATATATACATATATATTGTAGATATATGTGACCTGTATTTCTTAATAATAATAGTATGTTGTATACATAAATTGAACTCAGTGAAATTATTGTAGAAAGAGGGGACGGGTGAGAATTATTGGGCCAGCGACTAATAGACCCGTCATATCAGCTTCCGACAAATAGGCTCCCGTCTTTTAGGCTCCATATGTCGATAGCAATTATATCGGAAGCCGATTTGTCGTGAGCCAATATGTCCTGAGCCTTTTGTCGGGAGCCTATCACCAGTCAATTAGACCGGAGCCCATTTTACGGGAGACAATATGTTGGGGCCCTTTTGACTGGGTCGTTTAGTCGCGGGTCGATTTGACGGGGTCATATTGACGGGGCCGTTTTGACGAAGCCGTTTTGTCGAGGGTCGTTTTGACGGTGCACCTTCTGCATGAACAAAGTTGACTTTTAGAAACCCAAGTCTCTTGCTATAGAAGTAGGATCTTGTCACACGAAAATACAACTAAGAAACCGTTGGTCTGAAATAAGTACTCACGCGTCCTGGTCCTTGTTGCAGACGACACTGACGCAGTCCTTGAACCCCTTGGTGATGTCGGCGCCGTGGTTGTCATAGAAACACTTCCGCTCCCTGTGGCTGGAGATGAGGGCCGAGCACTTGTCCAGGGCCTCGACCCTCTTGTCCTCACTGCAGGCTTGGAACACGGCGGCCAGGTCGGTGCAGGTCTGTCGTATGGGCAGGGGGCTGGGGGAGGTAGGGGGAGTGGTGGTAAATAGGGCACATTTGTTGGTGTAAGTGAGATTAGGTACTTTTTTTAGAACGTATAACTTGAAACAAATGGTTTTTCCAAAAGAGTAATTTTTTTGCAGTTCAGATTTAACTTATCTTTTAGGCAAAAATAAAAGTTTATGAGGTGTAAACAGTTTAAAACCTCCAAAGATTTCCCTGGTTTTCATGGCGAATAGAACTGCAAAGTCTGAATATATATTTTAGTGTCTTGATAGATTTTGAACACTATTAATATTCATTAATAAAATACCAACAGAATTTGCTGAATAAATTTTGTTCTGGGTCTACCTAAGCACACATAACTATAAACAAATATAAAACGTAAACAAAAAATCCCAGAACTTATTAAGTAAAGAATCCGCTTTTAACCTAACGATTCATTGAGCAGATGAAGTAGAGTTCATGTGTTTTTCTTGACCTCGTCGTTTCAAAGGAATCTTTTTCTTTCCCTAACATGAGTAAAGTACTCATCAAAGCTAGGTGGACTAAGGGACGTTATACTGACTTGGACCCGGATTTGAACTATGGACGTTCGGGATAGCAGCCTAGCGCTCTACCGCATAGACCATGATAGTGTAACTAGATTTGAAAAAAAGACAACTAAACCACCCATCAAACTGAAACAACACAGGACATAGATCTAGAACTGGACTTACTCCAGGTTGACCACAGCCGGGATGTTCTTGTAGCCCAGGACGATGTCAGCCAGCAGCTTGGAGGTGGTGGAGGTGTAGGGGGCGACCAGGTACTTGCCGTTCAGGTTGCAGATGTTGCCGCTGTCCACTGAGCCAACAATATCCTCAGGGGGAGCAATCACACAGATCCCTGGGGATTTCTCCTGCAAAAAATTGTAAGGATAAAATTAAATTTATATCTACACTAAAAATGTTTTTTTTTTAATCGTGTACTTGAGGTTTTTCCTGGTTATATACAATAATTTATTTTTCCACTTACAAAAAAAAACAAAACTTTTATTTTATCACAACAAAACCCGCATAAATTAAACATAAAAAGGACTGATTCACTTTTGCTCGCATTAAAATATAGAATGAAAATTCAATTTTGTATGCTTTATTTCTATATTCTTACAAAATTCGAAACATTTTCCTTTAATACTTCTTATAAATAAAGACTAAAAAAAGGTGTTTTTTTGAAGAAAATATTAAAATATTTTATCCAGTGCTCATTATCAAATATCATTATGTAATGTACAGAACTGTCTATTAAAAACGAACTTCGTTCTGAACGCATACAATCCAAGAGAGCTGAAATCTTTTCTGTGCCTACTTATTTGTGTAACTACGAAACCTCACCTGAACCAAGACGCCGTCATTGAAAGGCTCTCTGAAAACCACCTCTCCACCACATGCTGTGATTCGCCATCTTTTCTGAACTGTGTTGTAGAGCAGACCAAATTCCTCAACGCCCTCGCTTGATTTCTTGACATAGGTGGACAAGTCTCCAGCTCTGCTTAGGGCAAGTCTGGCGTGGTTCTGTGCAATAACATTTAGATTGATAAATTGTGATTGTTTAGATTTTGATTATTTAAGATTTGCTTATTTTAAGTTTGACTATTTAAAGTTTGGTTTTTTAAAGTTTGGTTATTTAAATTTTGGTAATTTAAATTTTAGGTAAATTTTAATTTGGTAATTTAAACTATGGTTATTTCAATTTTGTTAAGTTCATTTTGTTAATCTTTGGGTGATTTAACAGTTTGATTTTTGCGATATCGTTTATGTAAAAATGGCTTTAGTTCCGTTTGGTTATTTATATATATATAATTTACTTAGCTTACTTAATTTTCGCACTTTAAAACTGAATGTTTTTTAAAAATAATGGATATTTGAAAATGTGTTACTTAAACAACGGTTGCTTCTATTTCGAATGCTTGAAATTCGCATATTAAAATTTCTAATTTTACTAGTTCGAATAATGAAATTTGTGTTGGTAAAATTTTAAAAGAGATGTGCTATGGTGTAATATATGAACGTAGGGGGGGGGGGGAGGGGAGAAAAGTTAAAAAAGAAACAAAATCAAAGTTTGATATTTATGCTAACGTGTTTTTGTAGTCGACCAATGTTCTTGTAGGTCCACAGACCAAAGTAATTTTAACTATTGAAAACTATTTTTCGGTTATTTACTTCTCTACATTTTTAATGTAATGCTTCTCATTTTTATCGTTTGTTGTGAAAAGTCGAAGTGTCCGTTATAAAAAGTACAGCTTACAGTAAATACGGGAAAAAAACATGTTTAGGAGGTTTTTCCTTCTAAAATCAGAAACACACAAAAACTTACCGGCAGGTCGGTAACTATTCCGTTAGAAATTTGAAAGTAGTAAGTTTCCTTGCCTATTTGAATGGATACAGACAGACGATCATCGTATTGGGTGCCGAAGCTGAGGATAATTTAATGTAACTCAAATGTAGATATAATTTAAATATTAGTTTCAGTTGATTGTTATTGTTTGTTTGCTATTTTTATTTCATGTTTTCATTTTTACTTTCTCGTACACGAAGTATTGAGAAAGTATTTTAATCGTGCAAAACAATTAACCGGGAGTGATCTCCCCTAAACTTTCTCGAATATTCTTATATAACACTACGGGGGATGGCAACTTGGGATATGGACATGATTTTTAATCGATTTTTTAATTACTTAAACTTTTAAAAATAGAATAGAATCTCCTAGAGGAAAGAATTGCGCACCACGTGAACGCCAAACAATCTGTGTATAATAGCAAACAAAGCAAAAAAAAATGTAAATTTCAAATGTAACGAATTAAACCTATGTTCATAAAAACAATAAGCTTAATTCAGAAAAATTGTAGGCTGAAGACTAATGTCTACAGACAAAGCAAACAACTAGACTTAAATGGATTGTCCATAAATGACGTCACACTTTTCCGGATGATTTACCTCTCCCCTAATCGTCACTAAAAGCATTTATAAGGAATATGGACGACCTAATAATAACAAGTTAATCAGTACAAAGGGTTTAAATGTTGGACCTCCCAAATATTTTTAGGTCTAGGATGTTCATACGTACATAGCCTTCATTTCAACTGAGATTAAAGACAAGGAGGCGGCCCATTGTCCTACTTACATTAAACAAGACAGCTATATATATATATTAAACAACACAGTCAACACACTATATATACAAATATACATTTTATCAAGGGAATCTTCTCTAAATTTTGTTTGGAAAGAGCCGCAGTTTATATTTACTAATATTTATTTCAAACACCTTGTTTAAAGTTAGTTTCATGATATTTTAAATTGTTTTGGTCATTGATTGTTATTTTAAATCAATTATCTGTTATATTTTGTACAATTTGACTTAAATATACTTATTTAAACAAATATATTTATCAGTTACCTCCCCCGCACATTACTGCTTTCGCCGTATTGATTACGCTAAAACTTTAAATTACCGCCACAAAGTAACTACCACATTGCTACTGTATAACACCGCATTTCTACTGTATAATTACCATATCGCCACAATGTAACTAACACATTGCCACTACATAACTATCATATAGCTATAGATTAACTACCACATTGTTACTGTGTAACTACCATATAGCCACAATGTAACTACCACATTTCCACTACATGACTATCATATAGCTATAGATTAACTACCACATTGCTACTGTATAATTACCACATTGTTACAGTATAAGTACCATATAGCCACAAAGTAACTACAACATAGCCACGACATAACTACCACAGTCATTAAAATCTCCTTCTACGCAACCATCAGACAAACACTACAGTACTATCACCCAAACACTAATTCACTACCACAAGTAACCCTTTTACATCCTTACTTAGTGTAGTTGACGGCTGTGTAGACTTTGATCTCGCACGCCAGATTGTTGACAGTCTTCGTTACCGTGGCAACGCTGTGTGTACAGGGGTAGTGCACCCATGTTTTCTTGCCGTCCACGGGCCTTAGAATCGGGTCATAACGGAGAATACACACGCCTTCATCTACAGAAAACAGAAAAAAACTACACGTTTCTTTAATATGTTGTCTCTGGGTTTTTTTCAGTCCGACGGAAAGTAAATCAACGCAGTAACAGTGAAATTAGCTAAGGATGTGGTAAACAAGTAATTTAAGTAGCTCTTTATTACAAGTATGGTGTCTTTATTACCAGTTTAGTGTCGCTAATACCAGAATAGTGTGTTGTAATGGAATAGACTCTATGAGTGTAATTTCAATGATACTTTAGTGCTTATTGCATACAAGTTAGTTAGAACACAAGACAGGTTCTAATCAAAAGCTTAAAACATCCCCTTCATATATATATATATATATATATATATATATATATATATATATATATATATATATATATATATATATATATTATATATATATATATATATATGTATATATATATGTATATATATATATATATATATGTATATATATATATATATATATATATATATATATATATATATATATATTCTTACGGGGGGGGGGTCGACACCATCAGATGCCGCACCGGGTGACACCCGACCTCGCTACGTCACTTGCACTGTCTCTACTTGGACTATATTCTACCCTTGGCGTTGAAACATCACTTTCTGTTTATATTGCTATTTCAGTAACAACGCCTGCTTCCATCCCCTCTATTTATTTTTAAAATTATTTACTTGAGATCAACTGTTAGAAAAAGAAAGTATAAACTACTGACCTTTAGGGCCACAACACAGGTCACCGTCGCCTTTGAAGCCAGGCTTACAGTAACATTTGCTGGTTGGATCAGCTTGTTCGGCGTTGGGGGCACAGAATGCGGTGGGCTTGAATTTTTTATCCTGGGCTAATATTTATCAAGGTATGAATAAGAATTAGCTGATGCGGAATAAAAAAAGGATTCTCGTATATTCGAAAACTAAGTGTCGCTATATATATATATTATGACTGAGAACATCTGTGTTTTAGAGTAACGAGTTTCAGTGTGGCAACAACTTTTAGAATGTTGATGATAGAACTGAAGGTGGAGGGATAAAAAACGGTCTAATCCTTGGTATTATTCGTGGGGAGTGAGACGAATGTGGCGTCAACAGGATCAGCTTAGCATTGGAGAATTTTTTGGCCTAGCGGAAGGAATGTGTGATTTTTAAATTTACACATAGTTACTTTAATTTATTAAAAATGGTTTACTTATACATAATACAAAACGTCTTATTTCATTTTTTTTAATATGTTAGACCTGAAAATTTAAGTGTTTTTTTTAATTGGTGTTTTTACGTGGTGTGGAGAGATAAAAGATGTCTGGGGTAGTAAAAAAAAAAAAAAAAACCTAAAGTAGAATGGCATTTTTTTTCGGTGAAATGGTCTTTCTATGTGATAGTGGAGCATTTGTTTAAAAAGTGAACCAACATGGTTTTGCTTTTTTCTCTTGACATTTTTAAAGAATTTTTGTTTTGGCTACGATTTTTTAAAAATGTTTTTACATTGTGCATTGTAGGATAAAAAAACCGTTTCTATTGTTGTCATAGTTGTGAGAGGATTGATCCAGACTTGATTTACTACCATGTGAGATTACCACTACCATTATAGGATACCACTACTATGTTATAATACCACCTCCATGTGAGAATACCACTACCATATGAGAGTACCACTACCATTATAGCATACCACTACTATGTGATAATATCACCTCCATGTGAGAATACCATTACCATTTGAGAATACTACTACCATGTGAGAATACCACTACCATGTAAGAATATCACTACCATATGAGAATACTACTACCATGTGAGAATCATACTACCATATGGGAATACTACTACTATCTAAGAATACCACTACCATGTGAGATTACCACTACCATGAGAGAATACCACTACCATGTGAGAATACCACTACCATGTGAGATTACCACTACCATGTGAGAATACCACTACCATCTGAGATTACCACTACCATGTGAGAATACCACTACCATGTGAGAATACCACTACCATGTGAGAATACCACTACCATGTTAGATTACCACTACCATGTGAGAATACCACTACCATGTGAGATTACCACTACCATGTGAGAATACCACTACCATGTGAGATTACCACTACCATGTGAGAATACCACTACCACAACCAGTCATTATGCTATTACACCTTTTATCGATACAGGTGACAATTACTTGACAAGATGCAAATGGTTTTCTACTTTCGATACTTATTCGGCTACTGGACTCATCCATTTCGTTTACAACTATCATCCGTTTACTGTCTAGTCCGAAATCAATTTCCCTATTGAGTCACACTGGTCAAACAATCTTACATTAACGATCAAGACAAAACCTCAGACCCAAAGAACAGCAACAACTCTCTACACAAAACGTCATTATATCTTTCGCACCAACCAGTGGCGTAGCCAGGATCATCTCAAGGGGGGGGGGGGGGGGGGTTTCCAATTTTTACCCGGGGACAAACTTTCGATTTGCACCCCCCCCCCTCAAACTTTCGATTTGCACACCCCCCCTCAAACTTTCGATTTGCACCCCCCCCTCAAACTTTCAATTTGCACCCCCCCCCCCCTCAAACTTTCGATTTGCACCCCCCCTCATACTTTTTATATATACCGAGGGGTCTATGGGGGGGGGGGGTTATGACCCCCCCCCTAACCCCCCCTGCCTACGCCACTGGCACCAACATACCCTGATCAAATACACATCATAACAATTGTACTTTGCTACTTACCCGAGCCTAAAGCTAAACAGGACATCAGAAAGATGGCTGCTAAATAATACATGATTATTTCACTATCTCTGCTGGTGGGACGATAAAAGAAATGTTTATAGCGAAGTTTAGCTGTGTATGTTTTAAAATAAACAGCAAATGACTTAAGTAAGAACAGAACACAACCAAGGATAAGTCCCAAACCAGCCACCTTAAAAACTGACAAACACCTGATATGTTGCGTAACATACCTTGCACAACCAACTTACCCTATAAACCGTGTAATCTTTCAAAGTTCTTCTTCAATACTAGAAGTTGAAGTACCTTTGCTGATTGACAACTAAAACGAAGCGAATTTTGCAGAATTTATACATCCATGTAAACCCGACAATAAATCATCTGAATCCCTTGCAGTGATAAGATATCGACACATACAACGTATGAACGAAGTTGGGATAGAAAAAGCAAGTTTGTGTAAATAGATAAGGAGAGAGTACACATGCGGTAATAGTTTAATCAAATTTGTTTCAACTAAATGATTTTTGACTTGGTGATAAACTGGATGTAAATGATACAGGGGTGTAGTTGATGTAGAATTTAGAATGATGGTATAGAGTACGCAAGAACTGTTTTATTTTTTGTTCGCCGCCAACATTGTACAGTTGTTTAGTTCAGTACTGTTGTATGGGTCAGTATAGTTGTATGGGTCAGTTTTGTTGTATGGGTCAGTACTATTGTATGAACAGTATAGTTTTATGGGTAAGTACTGTTGTATGGGTCAGTCTGTTGTATGGGTCAGTACTATTGTATGGGTCAGTATAGTTGTATGGGTCAGTATATATGGGTCAGTACTGTTGTATGGGTCAGTATTGTTGTATGGGTCAGTATAGTTGTATGGGTCAGTACTGTTGTATGGGTCAGTACTGTTGTATGGGTCAGTACTGTTGTATGGGTCAGTATTGTTGTATGGGTCAGTATAGTTGTATGGGTCAGTACTGTTGTATGGGTCAGTACTGTTGTATGGGTCAGTACTGTTGTATGGGTCAGTACTGTTGTATGGGTCAGTATAGTTGTATGGGTCAGTCTGTTGTATGGGTCAGTATTGTTGTATGGGTCAGTACTATTGTATGGGTCAGTATAGTTGAATCAGTCAGTATAGTTGAATCGGTCAGTAGTATATTATGGGTCAGTATTGTTTTATGGGTCAGTACTATTGAATGTAATAAGTTTGTCCTCAGTACTGTAGTATGGGTCAGTATTGTTGTATGGGTCAGTGCTGTTGTATGGGCAGTATAGTTGTATGGGTCAGTACTGTTGTATGGGTCAGTATTGTTGTATGGGTCAGTATAGTTGTATGGGTCAGTATTGTTGTATGGGTCAGTACTGTTGTATGGGTCAGTATTGTTGTATGGGTCAGTGCTGTTGTATGGTCAGTATAGTTGTATGGGTCAGTATAGTTGTATGGGTCAGTAATATAGTATGGGTCAGTATTGTTTTATGGGTCAGTACTATTGAATGTAATGGGTTTGTCCTCAGTACTGTAGTATGGGTCAGTATTGTTGTATGGGTCAGTAATGCTGTATAGTTCAGTATTGTTGTATGAATGGGACGGCCTGGACTAGCGGTAGAGAGCTAGACTGCTAACCAGAAAGTCTACGCAGCTCTAATAGGCATATTACTCTGCCCCATTTGTCTTGGGCACAAACTGGAAACAATGATGATGACTGTTTTATGGGTCCTGTCTTGTTGTTTTTATCCGCAACGTTGAATGGGCCAGTAGTGTTGTATTGTTAAGTATTGTTGTATACGTCAGTATTGTTGTATGGGTCAGTATTGTTGTATGGGTCAGTATTGTTGTATGGGTCAGTTTTGTTGTATGGGTCAGTATTGTTGTATGGGTCAGTATTGTTGTATGGGTCAGTATTGTTGTATGGGTCAGTATTGTTGTATGGGTCAGTAATGTTGTTTTTGTCAGTATTGTTGTATGGGTCAGTATTGTTGTATGGGTCAGTATTGTTGTATGGGTCAGTATTGTTTTATTTATCTGCACCGTTGTATGCGCCAATATTGTTGTATACGTCAGTATTGTTGTACGGGTCAGTATTGTTGTATGGGTCAGTATTGTTGTATGGGTCAGTAATGTTGTATGGGTCAGTATTGTTGTATGGGTCAGTATTGTTGTATGGGTCAGTATTGTTGTATGGGTCAGTATTGTTGTATGGGTCAGTATTGTTGTATGGGTCAGTATTGTTTTATGGGTCAGTATTGTTGTATGGGTCAGTAATGTTGTATGGGTCAGTATTGTTGTATGGGTCAGTATTGTTGTATGGGTCAGTATTGTTGTATGGGTCAGTATTGTTGTATGGGTCAGTATTGTTGTATGGGTCAGTATTGTTGTATGGGTCAGTATTGTTGTATGGGCCAGTATTGTTGTATGGGTCAGTTTTGTTGTATGGGTCAGTACTGTTGTATGGGTCTGTACTTTTATATGGGTCAGAATGAACTATTTCTCCCTTTCATGTCCTAAAGGGGCACTTGTCGACGAACTGTTCCACGATTTGTAACGATTAACATATTGTAACACTGGACTAAACACTAATGTGAATGGTTAAAATATCGTTATCTCATGGACACCTAGTACTGAACATGATATCGCTACATATGCTGAGATCAGAAAGTTAGTTAAACTCTACTTTATCTCCCTTCTTGACAGCCAGTGGTAGCTTACTACTTTACATGTCTCAAAAACCGTGTGCCCATAAAAAAAGGTGAATTGGTCCTTTTTTAATATGCCCCTTAATACACCCAAGGTAAGAACCTCTCTACTAAATCATGATTTAATGAACCTACTTACGAACTCGAAGTGAATGCAATATGAAAAAATCTTGATAAAAATATTGATCTTGATAAAAATATTGATCTTGATTTAAAAAAAAACCCCACAGCTGAAGATAGAATTAAACCCCATATCAATCGTTATCAACAAAAAAATCAAATCGCAAAAAAAAAAAACAAAAAAAAACAAAAAAAAAAACTTGTTTTTGGTTTAAATCCTTAGCAAAAGCTGTCAAGTAAACACCGCTATTTACTTTTGGTGTTAAATATATTAAATCGAGTCTAAGAACAAAGGAGTGTTCACGTCATGAGCATAAACAACGCTTTAATAAATTGACTATTTTAGATTGTACTGAGGTGAACCAGATTAAAATTTTTATGTATTGATTGAATCAAACCAAGGGAAATAAATCTTAGTACGTATAGTTTGCTAGCAGTGTTTCTTCCAGACTTTTTTCTCCGGGGGGGGGGGCACTTGAAATTTTCGAGGGGGGGGGGCGGTAGACTTTCTTCGGGGGGGGGGGGCGGACACTGTTAAAAGTATATATTTTCTTTATAAAATTCATTTCGTTCGGAGGGGTGGTAGACTTTCTTAGGGGGGGGGGGGGAGCTCCCCCACCCCAAAGAGATGCCTGGAAGAAACTCTGTTTGCTAGTGTTGTATGGGCAGTAATGGTTCAGTAATGTTGTATGGGTCAGTTCTGTTGTATGGGTCAGTTCTGTTGAATGGGTCAGTATTGTTGTATGGGTCAGTACTGTTGTATGGGTCAGTATTGTTGTATGGGTCAGTCTGTTGTATGGGTCAGTATTGTTGTATGGGTCAGTATTGTTGTATGGGTCAGTACTGTTGTATGGGTCAGTATTGTTGTATGGGTCAGTATTGTTGTATGGGTCAGTACTGTTGTATGGGTCAGTCTGTTGTATGGGTCAGTATTGTTGTATGGGTCAGTATTGTTGTATGGGTCAGTACTGTTGTATGGGTCAGTAATGTTGTATGGGTCAGTATTGTTGTATGGGTCAGTATTGTTGTATGGGTCAGTACTGTTGTATGGGTCAGTATTGTTGTATGGGTCAGTCTGTTGTATGGGTCAGTATTGTTGTATGGGTCAGTATTGTTGTATGGGTCAGTACTGTTGTATGGGTCAGTATTGTTGTATGGGTCAGTATTGTTGTATGGGTCAGTACTGTTGTATGGGTCAGTAATGTTGTATGGGTCAGTACTGTTGTACGGGTCAGTGCTATTTGGGTAGTATCGTTGAATGGGTCAGTACTGTTGTATGGGTCAGTATATATGGGTCAGTACTGTTGTACGGGTCAGTGCTATTTGGGTAGTATCGTTGAATGGGTCAGTACTGTTGTATGGGTCAGTTTATATGGGTCAGTACGTGTGTATGGGTTTCGTTACGATAAACATAAGATAAACATACTTTAAATCTGGACTAAACCCTAATCCGAATGGCTAAGTCCACCTGCCTCATGTTTTGTGAAGTTTGGAGCCTAGTGCTGACCATCATATCGCTTCATATGCCGAGATCAGAGATTCACATAAGCTCTGCTTCATCTGCCTTTTTGACAACCAGAGGTTGTTTTAAAATTTAATATGTCTCAAAGACCGTACGCCCAACCAAATGAAAGTTGAAGTTTTCTTTCAATAAAATGACCCCCCCACAGCCAACGTGAGAACCTCTAAAAAATTATGATTTAATGAACTCGGTGCGCTTACAATTTATGACATAACTGTTGGGTTTTATTTAAACAAATTTAATCAAACGTGATACATATGCAGTCAGCGCTTTCTTTTGTTTCATATCTTGATAAAAGTATTGGTCTTCATTTTTTTTAAAAATAACCCACAGCTAAAGATAAAATTAAGGTACATATCAATTGTTACTAACAAAAAAAAAATCACAAAAACAAGTAATTGATTTTTTAAAAAACTTTACAGCAAAATCTGGCAAGTAAACACGTTTATTTACTTGTGGTGTTAAAGATAGTAACTCACGTCTAAGTACAAAGGAGTGTTCACGTTATGAGCAAAAATGTTTTATCAAAATTTAACGTGAAACATGTGTTAAGATAAATATTATCTAATTTGGAATTTGTAAGTATTTTAAAATGACAAAGTATATGGATAGATACACGTTTCTATTTCTATTTCAGTCTGTACCGAGGTGAACCTGATTAAATTGTTTATGTATTGATAAAATCAAACCAAGGAATCTAGGCCCTACTTAAATTCAGTCCAAAGTATAATGCAAAATAAACTAGAAACAATACTTGTTAAGAATGTTATTAATACTATTTTAGTGAAACTGTTATCACAATTTAAAATGAAAGAAAATGAAATTTAAAAAAAATGAAGGTTAATTAATTCCTCATCCCACAATTTAAACCGCTGCATTTGGAGATTAGCCACGTGGTTTGCTTAGGGTAAATTGTAGTCGACAGCCAGCCAGTGTTTCTTTCAGACTTTTTTCTTCGAGAGGGGGGGGGGGGGGTTACATGATATAATCGACTAAATTTTTTGACGTGGGGGGGGGGGGCAGTGTTTCTTCCAGACTTTTT